GATTCTTTGCCCACATTTCATGGTTTCCTCAGTGTTTCCTTATAGGACCCAAGAATGATCACACATTAGAGGCCAATGGGGCCACATATGTGATATGAACTAGCATACTGATGGTAGTGATGAGAATGCCCAGGCATGGGGAGAGGGGACTTTCTAAATTGTTGCATTGCTAGTTGATCATTCTTTGTATAAGCTACCGTTTAGTTGTGTATCAGAAGCTGCATAAATTCTCTTTAACAGTAATGTAGAAATTGCTGCTTTTTTTTTTTAATCCTTGTTCTATGGATGAGGAATCCAAGGCATAGAAAAGTTAATCAACTTCCCCATTGTTACAGTGATTACATGGCAAAGCAGGGATCAAAACCCATGCTAACTGGATCCCGAAGTCTCTACCCGGAATCAGGGGGCCTTGTTAGCCTACTCAGAGGGAAGGCTTCCCTAGCCAGTGTGGAACCCTGACCTCAGACATGTAAGACAATCCTTATTCCTTAGGCTTCATGGATCTCCTGATGGCGGGGAGTGTAACTCTGCTCTTTGGCTCCCCAACCCTTGTGTGACACAGGAACGGCCATCAGGAAGACCTCTGGCCAAAACTTCCCCAGAGACTAACCCTGCCAGGGTTGGAAGGTCTATGTATGAATTCCGTAGAACGTTTCACGAACTTCAAGGAATCATGAACGTGGGCATGCTAAGGTTTGGAGAAGTACAAAAGCTTAGGAGGCAAAAGATCAAGCTTTGTATTACAAACCTGTCTTCAGAATTTTATAATTCTTCAACTCCAGCATTTCTGTTAACCCTGAAATGACTTATGCTTCTGGGTCAGGTGACTTGTAGATAGGTTTGTTCTATCTAGTGTATCTTCCACAGAAATATTCCCTGATAATTGACATTTGAAGTCCTAGCGCCGAGTTTGCCCCATGGTTCTAAAATAGTGTCTCCTATGCAGAAAGCCATGAGTGGTGCCTAATGGCAGACTGTGAATCCCCTGTGAAGCACCCCTCTTTACTGCGTTCACCACATAAAGAAATCTGTGCCTTCCAATGTGACCAACTCAACACCCTTTTCAGGGAGGGCCTTGTCTTCTACCAAATTATTCAGGTCACAATGAAATCTTGCACATGCTCAGAGCACACCCATATGCAATGTTCAAAGTACTTCTTTGCATCTGAGTATTTGAGCATCAAGAGTGTTCTCCTGACAGAAATATATCACTAGTGTCTGTCATTGCAGATTCAGCTGCCCACAGCATTGCTTTTTGATGCCTGCATGGGGAAATTGAAAGAGAGCCACCTGGGACGTAGTGCCAGCCCAGAGGGCTCAAAGATATGAGAAGACCCAGGATTGTTCAGGCATCAGTGAAACCCTTTGACTGACTTTGAAACTGTACCTGTTGATGGGCAGTTCTGAAAGTGATGCTCTCTTCAAATTGCACACGACTTCAGGCCAAACCAAGACCTAGGGATTAGTAGGTGCTCAATAAATGTCAGTGACTGATTGATCAAAAACAATTATGATGTTTTGGGAACCAGCAGTTAGTGTAATGGCTATGTCGCTGGACTCCCACGTAGTCGACCGTGGTTCATGTCCCAGACCCGGTGGCTTAAAATTCACGCCGGGTGCGTGTGCGTGCGTGCCCAAGATCCCAAGAGGAGAATGGAGGAGAAGGGATTGCGGCATGGCCATCCCCCCTGGGGGGTGATTTCTCGCTTTCTGTCTCTATGTCTCTCTCTGTCTGGCGAGCGCACGCGCCCTATAGTGAAAACTTCTAAAAAAAATTATGATATTTCAGTGTAACTGATTTCAACACAGATGTGGAAATTTGTTAAGGTCAAATCCTAAGGATCTAACAAAACAATAAATAACCTGCTAGGTTGATCTTCTAGATTATTGCAATGGAGAACTTGCAGTGTCCTTTATTTAAAAGTATTGGCTGTGTTTTCAATAGAAAAGTCATACATACTCCTCATGGACATTTTGAAAGTACAGAAACATACAAAGGACAAAATTTAAATGGCCTGTATTCCCAACACCAAAGATAAAGACAGCTAATATTTTGGTATAAATCCTTCCAATGGGTAGATCAATATGAAATCATCCAGTTTTCTATCTTGGTTACTGTTTTCCTTTTTAGTTAACATTTTATTCAGAGTATTTCATGATGACATAGAATTATTTATTTAATTTATTATTATTATTATTATTATTCATTTCAACCAGGGAGAGACTCAGAGAGAGAGAGAGAAAGAAAGAGAAAGCCTCCAGGTCCAGGACTCAAACTGCAGTCAGTCATGTGGGTGTCTAGCTCCTTAACCACCATGCCTCCTGCCAGCCTCTATGTCATATTCTTAGGTGTGGACTTTCAAAGTCTTCAAAGGACTTTGTGAGATTTTATTTTATGACTGTATCAGAGTCTAACTATCACTTTATTGTTGGGCACTTAACTTTAAACATTTTTTGTTATAATAAGGATTAACCTTGTGATAAACATTATTGTATGTAAATAGTTAAACAAGTAACAACCTACTGCCTTGAAGTAAACTTACTACCAAAATGACCATTTTGATACATATTGCCAGGTTATCTCCAAGAGACGATTGTACTAGTACACATTTTAATCACTAATGTATAAATGCCTTCTCACGCACTCTGGTGGGTGCTAGTTTTTTCCCCTAAAAGAACTTTTACTTTAATTGTTTTAAAGTATGTCAATTTTAAATTTGTATATAATCATGTGAAGGCATATTTCTTTTGTGAATTCTTCTATAGTTTTTATATTTATAAGAATGCTTGTTGAACAGGAGCACTATCAAATATCCTAAGTTAAATGTTCAGCTCTATTTTTAAGAGTCATTTAATTCATTATTACTATGTTGTTATTATGTTTTAATTTGACCAGCACAAGGTTGGGGGAAGTAAGAAAGCAGTACACCAGGTCCAGGACTTGAACCACAATTGATCATGTGGAAGTTCAGCACCTTACCCACTGCACCATCTGCTGGTCCCATGTTTATCTATATTTTTTGAGGCTGTTTGTGGCTACATTTTTTCCATAAATCTGTATTGTAACATACTTTTTTTGAGAAATTAAATATATATATATATATATGTATACATACCTATATATATGTGTGTGTGTATATATATATCATATAAAACAACTAAGATTATAGGAAAAAATAAAAGTCAACCAAAATTCTATCACTAAGGGTTAATTACTAAGTAAAAATTTTATAACACTACTTACAGTTATTTTTACATAAGTACTTCTACCAGCTTAGGTATCCATTTTTAACAGGAACTTTGAATCATGATTTTTTTTAAGATCCTGCTCTTTTCTTAACGTTTTAATATTATATAATTGTTACTATGCCATTAAATATTCTCTGAAAGCATAATATTAATGTCTGTACAATGGAAGTCATGTAAGTGAATCATTATTTAGTCATTACCATATTGCTGAAAAGTTTTTTCTAGATAACCAGTTTCCCCTTTCCTATGGTGTGTTATGCTTTTCTTATCATATTGGAATAGATCAGCAAATTTCTTTTGTAAAGATCCTGATGGTAAATATTGTAGGCTTTTGAGAACCATGCAGTCTCAATTACAACTACTCAGCTCTACTGTTGTAGCTCCAGCATAGCTGTAGGTAATGCATTTTAAAAAATGGGCCTGTTTTGGTCTTAATAAAACTTTATTGAAACACACACAGACACACACACACACACACACACATACACACACACACACACACACACACACACACACAGATTTGGGCCAAGGGACAGATTTTCCAACTCTTGTGCTTGTATTAAGGTCTCATAACTACTAGGCTTGATTCTTGTAAACACTTGATTGATTTTCTTATTTGTATTATCGTCTACAATGTTTAGTTAGGAAATCTTTAAAATTTTTTTAAATGTTTTTGCTATAGGGCACATGTGCATGTTATAGAGAGAGAAAGAAAGAGAGAGAGGGTTAAAGTGAGAAATCATCCTCTCAGCGGGAATGGACACCCTGCAATCCCTTCTCCATTCTCTTGCCAGGATTCTGGGCATACACATAAACCTGGCATGTTTTCCAAGCCATAAGGTCGGGGACGTGAACTGTACACTCAGCCATATGAGATCCAGCCACCTTAATCTCCATACCACCTAACTGGCCCAAAGAAATTATTTCTTAGATTTACCAAGTTGCTAAATATCCTCTTCTTATTTCATTATTTTATTAGGTACTACTTTATTTTTTTCATTCTTTTGCTTTTCTTAAAGGGAATAAAAATATAAAAGATAATTCTTATAGTGCTTTATTATTGTAATTCTTTTATATTTAAGAGTAACATTATTTAAGGTTCTAAATTTGAATAGCTATAGTCTCAACACATGACACTTTTATTTGTCATTTTAAAATATTTTTTAATTTTGAAGTACTCAGTTTGATTTCCATCAGATTACTTAGAATACTTCTGAAACTTTGAAGTGTTGCGATAGTTTTGCCTATCCTGCAAGGGTCCTCGAAAAGTTCTTCATAGGCCAGTTAGTGGTGGCCTTGTGATTCAGGCAACTGGTTTCTATGTGGCTAACAGCATGGTTCAAATCCAGGACCTGGAGACTTGGAAAACACACTGGGTGGCATATGTGCCCAAACCCTGAAAGGAGAAATGGAGGAGAATGAATTGCAATGTGATCATTTCCCCTATGCAGGAATTCTGACAATCCCCTTTCTCTGTCCAGCTAGAGTGTGCACCCTCTAGTGATTTCTTTTTTTAAAGAAAGTTTATGGAAAATGCATGTTATGGAAAAGTACACATAGAGCTCACACACAGAGAGCCAAGCAGGAGAGGAAAGCATGGATTAATTGGAGGCTGCCGTCTTCATTTCCCACATAAAATTATTTGAAGAGACAGGTCAGAACTTTAAACAGGAGATACCGAGGAAGGTTATAATTTGGATGTCTTTAGGGTATTTGCTTAAAGGACTTTTACTCCTTCTCTCTCTCCCCAGACATACTTCAATGACAATATCCTCACCCTGATTCGGACCTTGGTGACCGGAGGAGCCACGCCAGAGCTTGAGGCTCTGATTGCTGAGGAGAACGCACTGCGAGGGGGCTACAGCACCCCCCAGACACTGGCCAACAGGGACCGCTGCCGGGTGGCCCAGCTAGCACTGCTGGATGGGCCCTTTGCAGACTTAGGGGTGAGTTCACAGCACAGAGGTCCCGAGCCCACTGCTTGGGATAAACTTGATCTGAATGAACTTGGCTCTGACATTAATAAACTAGGCATCCACCTTTCTCACTCCCACCATAAAGAACTGTGAGAGGTGATAGTTGCGGTTTATGTTTATAGCCACTGTACTTTGTGCATAGTAATTCACTTTAATTCCTTTGGCAACCCTTTAAAAGCACACGCTCTAAGGCAACTGAGGCCTGAGAGACTGAAGACTGGGCCTCTCAGGAGTTCCCATCAGGGCACCTGCTTCAGAGCCTGCTTGCTTGCTCATTCCTTTGTGTTCTCAGTGTCTTCTGCCATGAGATGGAGGGGACAGGTAATGCCAGCATGTGGCCAAATTCAGGAAACCTTTCCACAAAGTCTTACATAGGTCAGGGGTATTCAATCTCAACTCTGTAGCAATAGCACATAACAACACTCAGCTCCAGACCCTAGGGTTCCAGGCTATTGTATCTGAGCAGGACCCAGGCACTGGTGGTTCTTAGGCACCAAGGGAGATATGTGTATCCAGAGCCACTGGCCAAACAGCATCTTACGTGGATCCTGTAATGCCTCTAATTAAAAACTTAGGCCTTGGGGACCAGCAGTTAGCATGATGGCTATGTCGCTGGACGCCCATGTAGTCGACCGTGGTTTGTGTCCCGGACCTGGTGGCTTAAAACTCACGCCGGGCACGTGTGCGTGTGTGCCTAAGATCCCAAGAGGAGAATGGAGAAGAAGGGATTGTGGCATGGCCATCCCCCCTGGGAGGTGATTTCTCGCTTTCTGTCTCTCTTTCTCTCTCTGTCTGTCTGGCGAGTGCATGTGCCCTATAGCAAAAACCTCTTAAAACAAACAAACAAACAAAAAACAAAAAACCAAAAACTAAAACCCTAGGTCTTGTCACTTTTCAATTAGCAATAATCGCGCCTCGGATAAACCTCATTGGCTACGATACTGCCACTGCGCAAAAGCTGGTCTTGTCACTTTTGATGTAGTCTTGACCCTTATTCCCATCCCAACCTCATGGATGTATTCAAGGGATAAAGCCATAGTCATAGAAACCCATGAACATGTTGCACAGTGGTAGTCCCAGCTACTCCAGAAACTGAAGCAGAAGCATCATGAGTTCAAGGCCAGCCTGGGCAACATAGCAAGACCCTATCTCAAAACCAAAAATCAAAATCTGGGCCAGCTGGTGTCATGGTGATTAAGGCAGCTGGATTCTATATGGCCAACTGTGCAGTTGAATTCTGGACCCAGTATCTTGAAGAACATGCTAGGTTCATGTGCATGAGGGTTCAAAATTCTGAGAGGAGAATGAAAGAGAAGGTATTGCAGTGTGAACATGCCCCATGAAGGGTACTTTCTCACGTTCTCTCTCTCTCTCTCTCTCTCTCTCTTTGTCTCTCTCTGTCTCTCTCTCTCCAGTGAGTGCATATGCCCTCCATCAAAAAACAAAAACAAACAAACTTGTCTTACAAACAATAATAATGTTATCTAGAAAGTTCAAATTATAAAAAAGGTGGCAAGGAAAGGGCCATTTTCCATTTTTCCTGAAACACTGATGCATTTAGCTGGATTATGCACTGGGACCTATTTTCAACTAGCTTTCTTGGAAAGGGAACTTCCTCCACTAGTGGGTCTTTTTACCTATTATTTATATTGATACATTTTAACAGGATAAAGACTCTAAATATTACGCCTATATGGAAATTCCAATAATTAGAAGGACAAGTAGGGTTGTTTTATTTCCAAACAAACCTTTGGCTGGGCTAAGCTAGCATTGCCAAGTGAATGCCTTTGCTTTCTCTTTCTACATCAGGCCCTAGACCCTGGCATGTTGGGTGTGAACTGATTAGAACTGTGAATCCCAGTTATTCATCCTGCCAACCCCCAGCTCCTGGGGAAATGCATTCTATTCCACCCTTGCCATCTCTGAGGTCTGTAAATTGTGCTTTTCACACAGTCCTTACCTGGAAGAGTCTATTGCCATAGGACCCTCACAGTGGTTTTCATTATCACTTGGACCATTTTGACAACATGGTAGGATCACAGTGGTTACAGCTAAACTGGGGCTGAGCATAATCACCATTTTGCAGAACTGACTTCTTTTCTTCAGATGAATGTACATCAGAGACTTTCAAGATTTACACCTTCGGTTAATGTGAGGGTGAAGTATACTCTCCTGAGAGCTCTATTGCTACAGGTGGGAAATGGAGAGATGCCAGAGGAAAACACCATCACTCGTATTAGGTGCAGACTATTGACCACATTGACCTCTCCAGCCATAGTCCCTTGGCACAGACCCTTCAACACAGGAGACACCCAAACAAGACTTTAGGAAAGATCCTTTTTCCTCTGGACCTAGACTTTCAAGCAAATCAAAAGGATGTTTCTTTCTGCTCTTTTGTTATCTCCCAGGATGGTGGTTGTTATGGTGACCTGTTCTGCAAAGCTCTGAAAACGTATAATATGCTTTGTTTTGGAATTTACCGACTGAGAGATGCCCACCTTAGCACCCCCAGTCAGTGCACAAAGAGGTGAGTATCTGTTTGCACTTCACTCTCCCATCGAACACAGACACAAAATGCCGTCTCCTGTCCCTTGCTATGAAGGCACAGGTCTGTACACATGCCACCAACATGCTAATCACTCTGTCTGCATTAAATTCAATAATGAATTTAGATTTTTATGAGAAACATTTTTTCTTTAATTACTAATAGCAGATGTAAAGGCACTGTGGGAAGAATATAAGTTTTGTAGAAGAATTCTGTCGCTCAGTTATAAAAGTCTGAATGGAAGCAGCTGTCCCAAACTCCGGTTCCTGAGAAAACCTCTGGTAGTACCTAATTCAGAGATGTCTCACATTGCTAATGTGTAAGATAAATTATTCCTTTGTCATATCCTAGAATCCCGTATTTTTATTTTATAGATTCTTTAATTGACTAATTTTTTACTTTTACATATTTATTTTTTTGGAAATTACATATTATCATCCTAAGCAGAAAAGTCACAGTTTAGGCACATGACTTACATTTTTTTTTTCTAATGTGCATTAAAATAAATTTATTGCTGGCAAAAATTAAAAGCTCATCCTAGAATTACCCAAATCAGCAAATTTGCATAATATATCCCAGGAATAAAACACTACAGAGATGAGTGTTTCTCAGCCCTACTTGCATATTAAAACCACCTGGGGGGGAGGGGCAGCAGATGTTGCGGTGATTAAGATGTTGGACTCCCACATAGACAACTGCAGTTTGGGTCGCTGATCTGGCAGTGTGAAAATCATGCTGGGCGTGTGTGCATGCATACCCGGAATCCCAAGAGGAGAATGGAAGAGAAGGGATTGCAGTGTGGCCATCCTCCTTACGGGGTTATTTCTCACTTTCCTTCTCTCTGTGTCTCTTTCTGGCGAACACATGCACCTTAAAAAACCTTAAAAAAAGAACCTACCTGGCACCCCATCCCAGATGCTCTGATTACTCTGATTTAACTGGCCTGAAAGGAAATATTTAAGTGTATATAATTTTATACCTAATGAGTAATCTTTAAAAAGTTCATAGAAAATGCATACTATGAAAATATTATGGATGGAGTTTTCAAATTTTGCACTAGAATAAACTTATACTTTTAACTCAACTTTTCCACAAACCTTTTGAATTGCCCCTCACATAATGCCCAGAAAGTTTAGCATAGAACCAGAATCAAGAAAAATTATGATGGACCAGTGAGTTCTCAAAGTTTAGCAAGTATGAGCTTGTGAAACACAAACTGCTGGGCCCTTCTTTCAGACACAGTAGGTCTAGGTTGGGGTTGCTCCAGAATTTGCATTTAAAAAAAATTTTTTTAGAGTTTTTTGCTATAGGACACTTGCGCTCACCAGAAAGACAGAGACAGACAGAGAGACAGAAAGTGAGAAATCACCCTCAGGGGGGATGGCCACGCCGCAATCCCTTCTCCTCCATTCTCCTCTTGGGATCTTGGGCATGCACGCACACATGCCCAGCGTGAGTTTGAGTCACCAGATCCAGGACTTGAACCACAGTTCACTACGTGGGAGTTCAGCGACATAGCCATTACGCCAACTTCTCGTCCCTAAAATTATTTAATTGATACATAATAATTGTACATGTTTATAGGGCACAATATCATATTTCCCTTTATATATATATTGGGTCATTGGAAAAATCATGACCTATTTTTTTCCGTATTTTTCTATGCAAAAAGTGCATCATGGCTTTTCTGATGACCTAATATATATCATGAAATGACAGAATCATGGCAATTAGCATATCTAGTCATGTCATACATTTGTCATTTCTTAGTGGTGAGAACATTCCAAATCTTTCTTCTAGTTATTTTGAAATATACATTATTGTTAATTATAGTCACTCTACTATGTAACATAATGCCGGAATTTATTCCTCCTGTCTTTTTCTATTTTGCCAGAGAGCACATGTACTTGCCAGAAGGAGAGGCAGAGAGAAGAAGGGAGAACACACCCTCTACCGGGATGTGGTCACGCCTCAGTCTCTTTACCATTTCTCCATCTTGTTAGAATTTTGGGCACACACACACACACACACACACACACACATATCTGGCATGTTTTTTAAGCTGCTGGGGCCAGGATTTGAACCACAGTAAGCCATGTGGGCTCTCTCTCTTCACCATTAGTTGAATTCTTTAGCCAGTACCGTCAAGCTATGACATCTTTGCTACAAGGCCACCCTATTTCTCCTGTCTAACTGTAATGTTGTACAGTGACCAATATCTACCCATCCTACCCTCACCTATCCCCTTCCCAGACTCTAGTAAATGTGTACAGTGGAATGCCATTCAGCCATTAAAGAAAAGAATGAAGCCCTGTCATTTAAGACAACATGAATGAATTTAGAGGATATTATGTTGAAAACACAAAATGACCACACAGTCTGTCACTCACAAGTGGAATCTAAAAAAGGCGATCGCATACAAGTAGAGAGTAGAACAGTGGTCATAAGAATTTGCATCTTTAAAACATATTATGAATATGTTTTTAAATCTTCTTTTTAATTAATTAATTTATCTGGTATGATTTTCAAGCTGCTGGGTCCGGGACTTGAACTGTGCTTGGCCATGTGGGAATCCAGCACCTTAACCATTATGCCACCTGCTGGCCCAGAATTTGCATTTTTAAGATGTTCTCAGGTGATCCTGATCTGTCTGGTCCGAGGACCACACGTGGAATTCTGCTGTAGATGTAACCAAGTGATTATTTCAGATTGACATTGCCCAGAGGAAGTCTGATCTGATTGAGAATAGTAAAGCAAGACTGATGAATAGGCGGGGGTGGGAGGTGGTGGTGGTTATATTCCCCTATAAACTCCCATGAAATGATTTCTACAAGGTAAAGTGTAAGGGAATCCTAAGTAGACAGTAGGCCATAGTAAACAAAAATTCCCATGATGTTTGTCTCAAATTGTCAGAAATTTTAGAATAAATGTGCAGTATAGTCTATGAAACCTCCTGTAGTTGACCTCCTTAGGATGGAAAGTGAACTCAGCTTTGTGGAGAAATGGCACATAGACCATTGGAAGGACAGTTGGATTTCCCCATTTCCTGCTATATTTCAACTTCTCTGTGTGTGCTCATGGCTGGCCTCCTCTGCTGAGTTAAACAGATGAAGGTTGTTTTAACATAGAGAATGTTTAAGGCCTTAGATCAACTCGAAGTGCCCCATACAGATCCTCTGATAGACCTGGCTCCCAGGCCGTGCCTTTTGATTGAGAGAGTTGAATTCTGCACCTAGTACTCTCAGGCTGTGACATCTTTGCTTTCCTTGTCTAGGTATGTCATCACCAACCCCCCCTACGAATTTGAGCTTGTGCCGACGGACCTGATCTTCTGCTTAATGCAGTTTGACCACAACGCCGGCCAGTCCCGGGCCAGCCTGTCCCATTCTTCCCACTCGTCGCAGTCCTCCAGCAAGAAGAGTTCCTCTGTTCACTCCATCCCATCCACAGCAAACCGACAGAACCGGCCCAAGTCCAGGGAGTCCAGGGACAAACAGAAGTACGTGCAGGAAG